GTGTGTGTATTTATATATACATAATAAATATACACAGTGCACACACATATATATTATGTAAACAAAAACTTTTATTTTGGACGCGATTAATCTTTTGACAGCACTAAATAATATTAAAAGATAGTTCTTAAAAATTGTCAACTGTGGGCCATCCGAGATGCAGATGAGATTGTTTCTTTATCGGAACAGATTTGGAGAAATTTAGCATTACATCACTTGCTCACCAATGGATTCTCTGCAGTGAACGGGTGCCGTCAGAACGAGAGCCTAAACAGCTGATAAAAAAAACTACAATAATCCACAAGTAATCCACATGACTCCAGTCCATCAGCTAAAGTCATGTGAAAAAGATATTTAGAGGGACCTCTGAGTATGCAAAGTACACCACCTGATTTAGGCAAGATGCCACTTTAAAAACTTTTTACAGAGGTTAAAAGTATCGTTCACCCAAAAATGAATATTCTGCCATAATTTACTCATCTCCATGTCAGTTCAAACCAATAGGAATTGATTTCCATTGAACACAATAGTCAAAACTTGCAAGAATGTTCTGTCTGAATGACAAATTCACAAATGAATCTGATCTGGTTCAATGCTCAATTCAGTAAAAAGAATAGCTTAATTGTGATCTATTCCCTGTATAAAATGACCAGCACTGTACATTAAACTTCTTTTGTGTTCCACAGAAGAATCCAAGTCATTCAAGTTTGGAGGGACTGAAGTGAAATAAATGATGACATAATTTTCATTTTTGTGTGAACTATCACTTTGAGTTACACACGTTCTGAATCATTTAGTATTACTGTTTCTTTATAATCTTTCCTGTATCTCTCATAGTGCAATGGAAAGCTGTTGGTTTTAATTACGGAGCAGCAGAACAAGGCAGAAAGGAATCAAGATCAAAAGAGTGCAAACGAAAAAGAGAGAAAGGCTTGTCTCTATTGTTCAGCTGAGTGTCATAGAGCAGCCAGGAATTGCTGTAGATATAAACTACAGAGAGGGAGGGAGAGAAATAAAAATCAAGGCAGGATGGGGAGGCAAGACTGAAAAAGATTATATGATGAATAGTTGTGCATGAATGGAATATTTTAGTGTCTCTGTGCAACACACACATACACGCACAACACAAATACACAGCAGGTGGCATAATCAATACAGCCGATGGTGTGTTTAACTGCGGCGGAGTCTGTGTGCATTAGATTGCATGAGTTCACTTCAGTGCATCCAGAAATTAAGATGATTGATTTTGTTTCTCCGAATCATCCTGTCACTGTAGGTACAGATCAGCGAGCTCGGCCTGCTATGACCGGTGGGACTGCCACCTCGAGATGGAGGGTTTTTGGATGAAAGGGGACAGAGGTAGGGAGTCTGGATGAAAGACAGACAAAAAGGACTTGGAAAAGTATGAACAGCACTGCGTTACGCCCTCCACTGCCACAGACACACACACATGTACACGTGCACTTGCGTGTTTTTGGCAGGAGAGCGAGGCTTGGAGGATATCCAAGACAGAAAGTGGAAGGAACCAGGGACAGAAAGAAGATATTAGTTTGATGGAAAGAGGAAGGGTGATAGGAGCTAGGATGAGACAAATAAACAAGAGAATGAAGGAATGAAGAAAAAAAGAGAACAGAGTAAGGTGTTTGTGTGCAGATGAAACAAACAAGAAAAAGTATAATAATATAATATAAGATGATATAAGATAAGATAATATAATATCATATCATATCATATCATATCATATCATATCATATCATATCATATCATATCATATACATTAGAAGTCTATGGCAGTGGTTCTCAAGGGGTTTCCTAAAGGGAAAAGGGGGGGGGGGGGGAATGATTCATAAAAACATTAAACATTATTTTAATGTTTGTATTTTTTTTAAGAAATGTACACAATCTACCATTTAAAAGTTCAGTCTGCATTTTTTTGGTAACACTTTACTTAAAGCCTTTATGTATAATGCATTTTAAGGGGTTATTAGAGGGTATAATGCATTATAATTATTCATAATGTGCGTTGTCATACATTAAATCTTGTCATAAATAATTATAACTGAATTTAAAATGCATAGTGTAACAATGAATTGATAAGTGTTATAATATATTAACTGTAGTTACAATTATTCATGAGATTGTACAATGCATTATAAGGTGCATGCACTACAAGGCATAATTAATGCATTAAAACTACTTTTATAATGCATTATACATAAAGGCATTAAGTAAAGTGTTACCTTTTTTATTATATAATTTTATACACACACACACACACACATACATATATATATATATATACAGTATACATAAATACACACACACACACAAATTTGAATTTGCTTGACATAGAAATCTATGGTATGTTCTTATTTAGAATCCTAAGTAAATGTGTGTAAATGTGCTAGCCAAAGTAACCTACTGTACCCAGTAAAAGATTTAGTTAAGAGGACGAACATATAGAAGGAAAGCTGAAAAATAAATACAGAATGAGAGTTCACCAGAAAAGTGCGTTTGCATTAATAACCTTGGTGAGCTGTTTACCATACCTCCACACGTCCTGCCTATTCACAGCAGCCCGCATCAATTAAAGAGGAAATGCATTAGTGGCCATGCCTGGCCTGATCTGCTCCATCACACCACGACACCATGAGTGCTTTAACTGGCCCCGTCTCCTGGAGCTTTGGTAATGCGTTTATGTGACATTTACATGAATATTGTTATTCTCTTCTCTTCTCTCTTCTTTTTGGGTTACGATTCACTCAGCAGTGAGGAAGAAAACAGGATGGAACATTGTGTTATTTCCTGTTTATTTCCTTCCTGATTGTCCTCCTATGGCAGGTGTAAGCAATAATTGCTATCAGGAGCAGATATCGGTGTAGATAGGCTGGACAAAGCCCTACACCACACAGCAAGATACCCAACAAGGTCATCATGATCTGTGGGACAGGCAAACACAGCACTATACAGAAGAACTACTTGTTGAATGTGTGAGGGGTCTTTGGGGCTTTGTTGTGCAGAACTGCCTGTGCTTAATAAAGATTGATACACACAGATGATGCCCGGCCAAGTAAAACCACATAATTTACCCAAACCTAGAACAAATACCTCATACCTCTTAGATTCACTTCTCTTTCTGTCTAGCAGTTAAAATGAAATTAGTCAATCCAGGTTTAATTTCATTCTTAACTTATTGCTGCCATAAGTGATTTAAGTACAACTAGAGTCACCAAACATAATAAATTATATACAAATATAATACAGAGAATAATAATAATAATAATAGGTCAACCGATATTATCGGCCGATATTTGGCATGATAACGGTTGGAAACAGGAC